ATGCGGGTATTATAAAACAGTCGAATTACAATGCTGGTAACAATTTTCTTGACGCTATTTCACATTGGAGGTTTTATTGCAAAAAACCAAAGACAACGAGATAAAGATACAGCTTATAAGCTACCATCAAATCAATGGCACAGATTAACTTCATTTTGTTCTACCGTAAAGCGAAAGAAACAGTTTGTGTCCACAAAAATAAATGGTAAATGTGAATGCTTATGCGACGAGAGTGCGAATCTGCAATCAGTTTTGGCCGAGCATGCTCTTGAAATTTCTTGATTGAATTGATATGCACATCTTTTCAAAAGAAACATTTTTGAAAATTTTTTGAAAAGGTTTTCAAAAGCGCTTTGGAAAATCAGATCGGATATTCAAAATTTGAAATAACAATATATTCGCTTTTTTTACGTGCTTACAAAGCAGCAAGTGAGTGGTTAGTACTTGGCATCAAATTTCTCGAGTGTTCCGGAACTGATATCCAACCCTGAATGAGACATTAGTTAACGAAAACCTAAGTTACCTGAAATAACTCAATTTTTGACTATTTTCACGGAGAATTAAAAAATCCATAAATCACTACGATAAGAAGCAAATGACTCGAAAGTTCAAAATGTATACTCAGTATGCGGTACTTAACATGCTAAACGATTGAAATTGAGATGAGAATGTATTTTTAGCCACAAACTTTTCTAGAAAACCAAATGAAAAACCGACCTAGTTCTGCCAGTTTTTTCCTCTCAGAGGTGCCTAATAATGTTAAGCACCTCAAACTGATTATATATTTAAAACTTTCGAGTCATTTGCTTCTTATCGTAGTGATTTATGGATTTTTTAATTTTTCGTGAAAATAGTCAAAAAATGAGTTATTTCAGGTAACTTAGGTTTTCGTTTCAATGTCTCATCGGTTTCAGAGGTCACTAAATATCAGTTCAGGGGCACTCGGGAAATTTGATGCCGAGTATCAATCACTTATTTACTGCTATGCAGGCATGTAGAAAGAGTGAATATATTGTTGTTTCAAATTTTGATATCCGATCTGGTTTTCCTAAGCGCTTTTGAAAACCTTTTCAAAAAATTTTCAAAAATGTTTCCATTGAAAAGATGTGCATATCAATTCAATCAAGAAATTTTAAGAGCATGCTCGGCCAAAACTGATTGCAGATTCGTACTCTCTATAGTCGATTACCTTGCAAGTAACAAGTGTTGAATCGGGATATTTCAGAAAAATTTTCTCCATTGTTTTGGCCACGAAGTTCCTGGAAAGGATTAAGGGCTGAATGAGACTGATAAATTTTTCTAGAGTGTCCGATTCTAAATATGTTGCGTACAAAGTAACCGGCTGTGGAGAGTCCGAATCTGCAATCAGTTTTGGCCCAACACACTTTGAAAATTTCGCAACTGACTTAATATGGTTAGGTCTTGACTATCGATTGCTGGAAACTACAAGTTTCTATCACACGTTATTCAGAAAACATTCATGGACGCTATATTTTGAAACGGAATGTATGTCGCCTTTCATTCGTTAAAAACAGAGATTCTAGTTTTTCATACATGGGAGTAGTTAAACATTAGGCGTAATTTCACTGATATCTAAAATGCATAAAAACTTACTATGGTGCACAACATTCTTTAATTTTTCCGCTTCGTCACTAACTTGCAATTGTTTCTCAGATCCGGTAACTCTGACAACAAATTTTCCAATGTGAGTTGCTTCACCATAAATTTTGAATGCATTATTGACGTGCGACGCTTCAAATATCATCATTGGTGAAATTGGATTCAATATACCATGTTCACAATACTGTGAAATATCCTTTAACAATGCATTAAACTTTTTTGGACAAGCTTTGTGATAAGCATTTAAATCAAGCACATGAAAACTACAATCCGTTCTTAATTGAAATAGTGATAATTTTGATTTTGCAAATATATCTCGTTTTCCAATTTCAAGAAAATGTCCTTGAGGTGCGAGCAATTTTACTGATTCTTGAAGAAAATCATCAGTTAGTGAGTTGAGAATTACATTAACACCAACAGGCGTAACTTGTTGAATTTGCGATACAAATGACAAATCTCTGCTGTTAAATACATGTTCAATTCCACATATTTCATGTAAAAACTTTCGTTTTTCTCGTGTCCCAGCTGTTGCAATAATAGTAACATTACCAACCATTCGACAATATTGAATTGCTGCTAGTCCAACAGCTCCTGCTGCAGCATGGATTAAGACAGTTTGTTCGGATTCTAAATGAGCACGGTCACGAAGACCATATATTGCTGTTAAAAACGCAGTTGGTAATGTGCATAGTTCTTCCGGAGTAAGATTTGACGGTGCACAAACAATGCTATGTTGCTCTACAATAATATGCGATTTAAATGCTCCAACTTCCGCTGTTCGTCCAAAAATTTGGTCTCCGATATTTAGAGAATTAGTTACTTCGGAACCAAGACGCATAATAACACCAGAAAAATCCGAACCGATTTCTTCATCTAGCGCATTCAAATTTAGTTGCTTATAGTCAATTCCAATCTGTTGAGTATGAGGATACAAACCACGTGCTTTCAAGATGTCACTGGAATTGATACCAACACTGTAAACTTTAATTTCAATTTCGGTTGGACCAAGAGGGCATGAATTCGAAATAATTGTAACCCATTTGAGATCAGTTAAGAATCGTGACTGTGGTACTTTTAATTTAAAATGAACAGATTCACAATCACGGTTTTGATTAATTATTTTTGTTTTTTGATTGACTGTTTCAATTTCATCGTCCGTGATTTCTGTTTGATTAATCTTTGTGAATAAAGGGATCAATCTATGTACAACGTTGTTGTTATCGTCACAAGGGCAATAACATAAGGCAATTTCTTCTTCATCTACACTATTTGGAGAATAAGAAATAAAAGAAAACATTTCTCTTAGTATTTCATCAAACAGGTGTGATGACAAATTGTTCTTGAATGCTTGTATATCAATCAATTTGAGACGACGTACGGCATATTCATTTATAAGCGATCTTGCGAAACCAACTACAGGTGACTGAGCTGGATTGAAATCCAAAGCATTGTTGTACTTGTTCGTAATAGCTTGTGCATTTTGTGTAATTATGAAAATATTTGGTAGAATATCTTGCGAAAGAAACTGGATTGATTTTACAATGTACATTAAAACACTGCATACGACTTCAGCTTGATATTCAAAAGTATGAAAATTATTATCAACTGTGTTATTAATTTCATTATTCTCGTCGAATCTTTCTAAGTCGAGTGACCATGTAAATATTATGTTAAGTAAGATATTTTTTGATATAGTGTCTTGAAAAAGATTTTGTATACCAGCAGAGATGGAATTACTGTTAATCGTACTGTGCTTTAATGAACTGGCCGAATTATAATCCTGATTGCCGTTCATTACATCTGAAAACCAAACTAGTGTTATATTTTTAACATTAAACGTATTTTGCAATCTATCTGCAATTTTTTCACCAAATTTTTGCTTGCTATCACAGAAAATGATCCAGGATTGTTGTTGTCGTTCTGGAAGAATGGTCAGAATTGCTGACGATGTTGATTTCTGGGCAATAATTGTTGTCTGAGCGTACTCTGTTGTGGCAGCATCAACCTGACTGAAACCACTAGCAAGACTAAAGGCATAAAACCACTCTGCACGTGTAATTATCACACGTTTAGATGTCTGATAAACAGGATCATTTGAGTTAAATTTCCACCGTTGTGGAAACAACCCAAATACCAAATCCAAACAGGATAGTGGTGATGTTTCAACTAAAAGAATGAATCCACCAGGTGCAAGTAATTGTCGAAGATGTGCTATCGAAAGCACTATGTTTGACGTTTCATGTACAACATTTGCAGCAAATATAATATCGAATAATTCAGGATTTAACGTCTGCTGTGGATTATTAGTTGAAGACGGATGTAGTGAATTTTGTTCCAAATCAAACATTTGGTAATTGATATTTAAAAGCTTCTTATTGTTTTCTTTTATCAATTTAGCAAACACTTGCTGCGTATTGTCAAACAGACTAACGGAAATATCAGTAAATGTATATTCTATTCTTGTATCAGTACTATTAGCGAAATCAAGTAAAATCTTTAAAATCTCAATTGTTGTTTCACCATTACCAGCTCCTACTTCTAATACTCTTAGTACCCATTTCTTTTTACTATTATTGTAATTTCGTTGTTCACTTATCTGATTGTTCATGTGTTGTACCAACGCCATAAATGGTAATCGTACATTTGTCTTTGATATAAGTGAATAAAAGTCTTTTAACATAGCATCGTTTTCTGATCCAAGCAGTAATTGTTTTACGTCCTGTTTACCAGTTAATACCGGAAACAGATTAGATCCACTCAAGGTAACGAGCGATACAATTGATCTAAATCCAGGAAATTGTTTAAGAAGCTTTGCAACGAACATATTAATAGTGTGTTCAGTAATCAAAGAAACATCGTTGAAACGTTCGTCTAGAAATTTCCATTGTTGATCATCCGTTTGATTATTTACCACAGATTTATCAATATATCCCTGATTTTGAAGAAAATCCATTAGTGCATCGAATAGATTGTAATGTGATGGAAGAATAATTGATATTAGTTTGGACCGCGTTAAATGTATATCTGAATTATTAAAGGAGATAATATTTAGTAATTGTTTTAGAAACATTAAAATATATTGTGCTGAAAGCTCATTTATCAAACTCATTGATTCAGAAATTTCTTTATCATTTTGGATACTGCTTTGTTCGATTGTGGTACGGGTATTTAAAATTTTATTGTTCATATCATTATTATCATGTTTAATTGGAATAGTCATATTTAATAATACTTCTGATGTGGGAAACAACTCCGAACAATTAGAGAGAGCATCGGAATGTTTCCACACTAGTTTGAAACAAAAACGATCCATTAACGTGTCAAGCTCAATAGTATTATCACCGATCATACAGGTTTGTTTAAGTCGTTCGAATATTTTTGACTTGGAATGAGTTGCACCACCAGAAATTGATTGCATTCTAATCCCTTGAAAGACGGCAATTACTGCGTCTGTTGGTGCCGAAGTGGACGGTACAGTAGAATTAAATATAAGAAGATCACCTGTATGTGTTTCATTTACCATAACACTTCTGACAGGTACATCAAAAGTACCAAAAGCAAATGTTTTTTGTGGTTTCATCGAGTATTTGTTTGTAGTAATAGACGGAAGTCTTTTGTCTTCACCACACACAATAATTTTTGCAATAAAGACAGGAATAAAAGTTTCGTCACCTGGTATAATAGTAATCATTCCTTGTAAACAAGAATCAAGTAGTGCAGGATGAAAGAAATATTGCTGTTTGAGATCTTTGTCCTTTTGCAATAGAATAGGAGGGGTAGTGATTTCAGTTAATACTTCATTATGTGTTTTACACAATGATTTGATACATTGAAAATTTGGTCCATAAGAATATCCTCGACCAGAAAGGAAACCGTACAAATTTGTAATTTCATCTTCGCGTTGCATTTTCAAAGTGGTATTACTGTCAGAAAAACGATTTAAAATAGAATCTATGTTGTAGAGAGAAGTAGCCAATGAAATATCAATCTCCATATTCATAGTACCATGTACATTCAAAGTCCATTCTTTTGACGAATAAATATTTAATGATTTCTCATCCGAAAACGAATTTATAATATCAGTACCATCCAATCCATTGGGACGCAAATAATTCTTATCATTAATACGACGGCTATAAATAAAAAATTCGCGAAATGGCATTATTATAACTGTATCAATTTGTGTTGTCTCATTTTCTTTTAAAATAAGTCCATTATAAAACTGAATATTTTCAAAGGCCATTGAATCCAAATGTACTCTTGTGTTTTGACCTAATGAAAGAGATAAAAGTTCACTTACAGCTGCAATTGCTAGTTCAATAAAACCAGTAGCAGGAAATAATATTTTCCCTTGCACTACTTAATTTTGAAGAAAAGCATATTTGCTTGAACTATTTTTATCGATTGTAATTTCGCTTTTCCATGCTGGAGTTCTTGTTTCATTGCACCACAAACGATAACCAAGTAACGGATGATGTTGTTTTTTTATTGCTCGCCTTATAAATATAGATTCGTTTGATTCAAACCAACAAGCTTGTCGATTAAAGGTATAATGAGGTAATTCATTAATATAAGAGTAAATTAACCTTGATATTTTATCTTGTTTGCCTGTTGTTGTAACAAGATTTGAATAATAACGAGATTGCCAAAATGTATTCCAACTAGATCCAGAAAATGAAATTAGACGACTTACTGATGATAAAATTGTTTGCTGTTCATCTAGTTTTCGTTTCAATGAATGGATAATTATTGATGACTGTGATTCAGTAAAAGAATCAATACACTCCTGAATCGATGTTGCAAGAACCGGATGAGATGATATTTCTATAAATACTCGAATTGGATTAGAACTAAAATCATTAAGAATAGATTGAATGCCATTGTAAAATAAAACAGTATTTCTCATATTTTTCCACCAATGATCGGAATTGAAGACAACCATTGAGGAATCTGCACGAGATCCGGTAACAGACGAATAAAGTACTGCATTTGAACATGTCTGATCAAATAACTTATCTTTATCTTTGATTAAATCGCCTTTAACATCTTTAATAGATAATATAAGTTCCTCATGAATATTAAATCTTTCCATTTGTTTGCTATGAAATGCATTTTCAACTTTTAACCAAGCTTTGAATATATTTGGTTTTGTTATATTTATAATATTATATATCTCTTCAAGTGTAGCTTCATCTCCACTTAATGTAACAGATTTTGGACTGTTTATAGCAGCAATTGCAACTCGATCTTCAATACCAGAAATTAGCCTTTTTGCTTCAGATTCACTAATAGATACTGCAAGCATACGACCACCTTGACGAGTATTAAGATGTTGTAAACGAGAACGATGATATATTACCTTGACTGCTTCTTGTAATGAAAGTCTTCCACCCAATAAAGGCTGCTGATATTTCTCCAACAGAGTGACCAATAATAGCTTTTGGACGAACCCCCCATGACATCCAAAGTGCAACAAGCGCCACTTGAATAGCAAATATAGCCGGTTGAGCAATATTTGTATCATTAATGCGAGAAGATTGTTCGTTTTGTGTATTGATTAGTTCTTGGATAAGTGACAATGAATTGTTTGATGCAAGTGCAAGCTCTACATCAATTTTATTTATCCACTGATGAAATACAGGTTCTGAATAGTACAATTCGCGTCCCGTTGCCCATCCCAGTGAACCTTGTCCACTAAATACGAAACAAACATTATCAATACTATTATAATAATGATGTGTTGTTGGTTGAGTAACGATAATACCAGGACAATTATCTTCATTTGCCAAATAAGATGCAGTTTGTTTTTGTAATTGTTTGGCATTTGAAAATACAAAAGAAATACGATGTGATAAACTTGTCGTTCGTTTTGCCAAAACTTGATGAGATAAATGTGAGAAGAATAATTTTTGATGAATGTCAAGTAACTGTTCAGGTAATGTTGAGAACCATGAAGAAAATTTTTCCATTTGATTTTTCATTGACTGACTACACTTTGCTGTTAAGACAACGAAATAAAACAAGTTTTTTCATTGTTAATAATAAGAGAAATAAATAAATAATAATACTCACTAGAAAAAGTCAAAACAAAATGTTGCTTCAATGGATCAAGTTGGTTTTGAATAGAATTTGCATGAGGTATAGGCAGAACATCAGAACAATTATCCAATTTATTACAGCTGATTTTCCGATAACATTTTTCATCCCCGTTTAGCATCGGCGATTGAATAGGTTGATCAGTTCCAAAACTATATTCGCAATACATATTCTTTATATTGTTTTGAGGCCATTCATCGATAATTGCATGGGCATTATTACCACCCATACCAAAGTTATTAATTCCCATTGTCACACTACAGTCTGGAAATTGCACTAAATGATTTACCACATGCAAATTGTACTGTTTAGCATGGATCTTTGGATTAATACGAGTAAAATGCATATTAGGTGGAATCATACGATGTCTCATGCATAAAGCAATCTTAATTAGAGCTGCAACTCCTGACGCACTTTCGGTATGGCCAATGTTGCTTTTCATAGAACCAATCAAAAGTGGAGGACTGTACTGAGAACGATTAAAAAACGCACCCATAGTATTTGCCTCTATTGGGTCACCAACTTGAGTCCCTGTGCCATGGCATTCCACATAGAAGATTTTGTTTGGATTAATTTGATTACGTGAATAAATTTCATTAAGCAATACACCTTGTTGATAAGGTGATGGTACAATATAGCCAGTTTTGAATTTATTTCCATCATGATTTGTCGCTACGTCACGGATCACACAGTGGATATGATCATTGTCTCGTATAGCGTCGTTCAATCTTTTGAGAAGCACTAAGCCAAGGCCCTCACCTCTCGCATAGCCATTTGCATCTGCGCTAAAACAACGAGACCTTCCGTCTGGAGATACCATCATCATACCGCCATCAGCAGCAATAAGTGAAAAGATATAAAAGGTTTCAGGAGTATAGCTTAAATTAACCCCACCAGCAACTGCAAAATTAACCTCACCATTTCTTAACGCTTCAACTCCAAGGCGTATGGCTTGAAGGGAAGATGCACAGGCAGCATCCAACGTTAGATTAGGACCTTGAAGACCAAAATGGAAGGCAATACGAGCAGAAGCATTGCAGAGGGCCATATTGAGTCCCATGAAACGTGTGAGTGTTTTTTGACGACCAATTGTTACCTGATGCTCATTTGAGCATTGACCAATAAAAACAGCTGTTCTAGAATCTTTGATTTGATCCATAGTATAACCTGCGTCTTCTAAAAGGTGAACAAATTTTTCAAGTAAAAGACGATGGCAAGGATCCATTGACATAGCTTCTCCATCGACAATGCCAAAGAATGAAGGATCAAACTTGTCCAGCATTTCCTGATTTAAAAAGTAACCACGACGAGCCATAGTTTTTTTCAATAAAGGATTGGAGTCAAAATGATGGGCAGCATAGGATTCAATATCAAATCGTTCTTTTGGAATTTCACTTCCAACATCAATACTGTTTTTAAGAACATTCCAAAGTGCTTCAGGCGAGTCGATTCCACCGGCAAAAGCACAAGACATGCCAATCACAGCAATTGGTTCCAATTGCACTGTTCTACTATTGTTCGTATTGTCATTTGGTGTTTTGAGGTTTAATGATGCTGTTTCTTGGGAATTCTGAGATCCAGCATTACAGGAAACTGTCTGTTGTTGAGCCATATAAATTGTGTCGTCTGTTCTAGCAGATTATGCACTATATACGCGGATAAATCTTATGAGAAAACAAAACACAAAACAATATTTTCACGAAGCAGATACTCTATACGTTTGTTTTGTCCTTGTGAGGTGAAACATCGAGCAGTTTTTTTCTTCGTTTAACATTACCCAACTCTTTGATTACTAACCATACTTTTTCTTTTCTTTTCTCTCATCAGGTATGTTACAGGCACAAGGAGTTAGACAGGCTCACAGAGAATAACAGTCAATATCTAGACGCTCACGAATAAATCGTTAAAACAGCAACCAGCTGGCGTGTCATCTGCAATGGAAATACTTATATTGAACATAAGAAGTATATTAGCTAAGGCAAACAAAGACCCGACTAGTACTCCAACAAAATTTGATCTTGTATCTACGATCTGTGAAAAACATTCTTTCATTGCGGTCATAAAAACACGGCTTGATAAAACAATACCGGATGAATGTATCCTACTAACTGGATATAAAACTGAACGTTTTGATAGAGACAGATGAAGGAGGATGCTTACTGTATTATCAGGATCATCTCACTCAAACATCTCGAGAGTAAAAGGTTTGAAATATGTTTTTTGAGATCTCGTTACTAAAAATCGGCAGTTTTCCCCTCGGTTAACTATCGGAAACCTAGTAGGGACCGTAAAGGGTAATCTTCCTTTTGCTCATTATCTCATCTTTTACTAACCTATTCACTGTAATGAACTTTTCCATTATTATCGGTGCCAAAACAAAAGGCGTGTGCTCGTTTCTTGAATATACGAATATTAAACTAATGTTGTCCGCTAAACGCGATTATATGATAAAAAAAACGCTTTTCGGCAGCTTTTTAAAGCTTTTTCTAAAACCAAATATTGCCACAAGACTCAGCATAGTCGATCATCCATAGTCCATCCGTCTTTTAGGTTATCACAAGTCACCGGATGTCAGTCCTGGGACTCTTCGAAAATTCGATACAATGCCCGAACCGCAGAAAATCAAGGTCTCACTTTACTTCCATTTTGAGGAGTACACTCTGAGCTATCAGCGCGTGAAAAAAAATCAACGCATTCCTATGTAAATCCTATGTAAACGCAAGCTGGTTTTCCAAAGACCCTCTGAAAAAACCCCTTCAGAAATTTTTCCGAAATTTGCTTTTGCTTACAGAAATATGTGGCCAGATGTCTAGTTTTCAAAACTACAAACCGTCGGCCGCTATCTATCAAGGTGACGGAATTTTTAACTGACGCAATTTATACCACCTTCCAGACACAAAACTTTGTGGGTTTTCTTCTTATCGGTGATTTTAATGCACACTTCCACGACTGGTGTGACATCCATTCTTCAACGACTCCAAGGAAAAAGCTTTTTGAGTTTTAAGACAATCGAAGAACTTTTGCGCAGAATTTTCTGACGTGTTCTTCTACGGGTCTTCTGGTAAAGTCCAGTTTTCATCCGCTCACATTACAATCCTTCGAAAAATGGTTCGATCGAACTCATAATTTTACCACAGATACTTCAGACCCTATCTCAGGTTCGTTTTCTTTCTTTTCGGAAAATATGCTTGCCTTCTCCAGATATCTGAAAAATGCTGAAAATCAGACAGAAAAACTAAAAAAAAACGACTTTTTTGCGTGACTTTGCGACAAAATTTTGAGCTCGATCGGAACGTTTTTCAACGGATCGTAATGTGAACTGATGAAAACTGGAGTACACATACATGATTTGTCTATGCTTCACAGAGTAAGAATCTTGAACTTGACAAAAGTAATCCGTAATCCCAGTGTCTCTGCTTTATTTTATAGTAGAACGGAAGCAAGGGCTATCGCTATATGTGATATTCGAACAAAATGAACCAGATTTTCTCGTACATATCATACTCCGCACTAACGCGGTGCAGTAAAGTATCCCAAAATAACTCAGAGGCCCATTTTGATAGAAAAGACTCTAAAAGGCTCGGTTCATCAAACGACAGTAATAGACCAGAAGCAACGACTAGTGCTAAGTTTCTCCTTCGAAGAGGAAATAAATAACTTCTCTCGTTTTATTCATGTTTGTAAGACATCTTCTGGTCTAAGGGAAATGAAGTGTATGTACATAGTGTATCTTGTTGAGTGACCCGTCATCTGATATCTCAATAGACGCTAAATTACTGAAAAAGCAGCGCATGGAAGATCGCTTATGATAGTGTCGTTGAATTAGCTCAGCCGATTGATGTGAAATTAGAAGAAAAAGATATTTACCATTTCCATCGTCTCGCGCGCTCGTCTAAAGCATGGAAAACAATCAATTATTATTGGCTTTGTTCGATATACTGATTGCCGCACATTGTATTCTTAACGGAAAAAATTAAGCACTATTAAAAATTAGCGTCAAGTGGATATTAATGAACATCTGACATCATTCAATAACGAATTATATGTGTATGTGCTACAGAAATTGGATAAAACTCATGTGGTCACTGGCTAGAGTAAAGTTTTCTCTAAAGTCAATATCGGAATTCATGAGTTCCTGTGAAGCTGTTGATAATATAGTGTGAGTGAGTCGAATAAGTATTACTTATCCGTTGTTCATATCTTTTATTCTCTTCGCTATGCATCATGAATAGATATTGGTATATTCATTCGGTCCATTAACACTGAGTGGCTAGATATATTAGATAGCTATCGTACCGTACTCCCTAATAAGAAAAGAGAAAAAAAGTGATAGAGAAAAAGCAAACACAAAAAATATAAATGTCTGTTCATGATGTATAGAGAAGAGAATAAAAGGTATGTACGACAGATAAGTAATGACACATCCCTTAGTATGGCAGGACGCCAAGTTTTACGTCTAGACTAGTCTGCTTTTTTGAAAAAGCTTTCAGAAAAACGTCCAAAATACCGTCTGGATCATGTTAAAGACGTCTGTCTTGAATGTAATGCCTCATACCACTGTCAATGGATGCAACGTCCTGACTGTATATCAGACGGCCTTCTTTTCCACTAAAGAATATTGTCCATGAGTATGAGGTGACGCTACGTCTGATACAGGATTTGTACTAGTCACGTAAGTCAGAAACTCTGTAAGGGAAGGAAGTGTAAGATTGTTCTGAAAAACATAATCGACTCTCCTACAAAAAAATCCATCACATTACTGAAAAAAGACCGGCACTATCAGTACGCCTACGTTGCAACGCTACACACTAGTTCCACACTTTTTCACTCGCCGTTTTGTTATCTACGATTGATTCTACTATGTTTTACTCGGACTTCTCTTCAAGAACATAGTGCAATCAAATTTCAATGCGTTCGTCGAGAAGACAATGCTTTTCTCCTGTTTTGATCTCCATTAGAAAAGGAAAAATCAGTATGAGAGTCGAATCGTGAATTCGGAGGATGTGCACAGCAAATTCAGCTCTCTGTTCCTTTATCTAAACAGGTCTCATTTTCGCTAGTGTAATAAAGTGCCTTATATAATAGACCGGCCAGTCCACGTAACGGTAGATTTTTTTGGCGAAGTATGATCACAAAATCAAGCAAAATCAAGATGACTATGTTGTAGAGCGTTGTCAATAGTATATAAAAACCTATTTTTTTCTTACTTTAGTGCAGTAGATTTTCCGAAAAAACTACTTCTATAAAGATGTTACTCAGAAACGATAGAAGTGTAAATTCGTTATCAAATTTTGATGTCTAATT